ATTCCTCCATCAAAACTGTTCAATATCAGGTAACTGGTCTGGGCTCATCCTACTCAAGAAAAGAAAAAGTGAGCCTGTTTTCACTTCATTTGCCAATCTGTGCTATAGGGTCTATCATCTCTTTTCATGTTTGAAGAAAGCCTGTAGACCTGCAGACCATTTATGTGAGTAACAAACCTATATTGAAATATAGCTATTTTGGAATTAAATACTTAGCTTTTCTCCCTCCTCCTGCCCCAACCCTCTCAGGAATTTTGAGAGTAAAATTTAAGGCTATATGACAAATTCTAATTAATGAACACGAGGAAAAAACAGGGTTTGGGACAAGTTTATGCAGTTGTTCTCTGTCTCTATGAAGCAGTCATCTTTGGCAAATGCCAGATACACAGAAACAGCCTTCTTAAACTGGGCTTGTTAAATATCTGGCCAAGGATGGAAGTTCCCATTAATGCAAGAGAAAAATACATGTAGTGTTGAATATACTGCTGCGTATTGTATTCAAAACAGGCACTTGCACTGGCAAAGGCACAGACAACAAGCTGGAGATTTAGCCATTAGGCGTAACAGCTGTGACATTTGGCTCAGGCTTTCAGAAAAAATGGACTTGTATTCCATGATTTCAAGGCACTGTTACAGACAATTCAGTGAGAAGCTTGCATTTTCTTCTTAGACTCCTATGGAGTATATGGCATTCCTCTGCTTCCTTATTCTGGATCTTCTGTTGGCCTGTAAGACCTCAAGGCTCAGACCATCTCACTGCCTGGCTTATGGTGCAGCTACTGCAGAGAGATCCCAATCCACTGCAAGGGTTCCTGCTGGACCATGAATGAATGTTATCTGGGTTATTTTACTGTCACATAGTACTAGACTACAGATTGCTTCTTCCAAAGCAAAGATGTGGAGATGCAAAATCTGCATCCTGAGAAAGAACCTGATTTTGCAGCTCACCCATAAAATTTCATCTCTCATTTACCACAGCAGGGGTAAAAAAAAAAGGCAACATACAGTTACAATTTCCTATGGTACTGAAAGAAGGAAGGCAGGATCAGGACATTCCCTCTCATAGGCTCATTTCTAGGTTAATGCAGCTGGAAAAGACTCCAATATTTTGAAGATCCACAGTTGGCAACTCTTAGAATAGCTTTGAACATGTTAAGAACAGCCTGTCGTGGATGAAAAATGTGTTCTTCACAAGAGCGGCCTCCATGGGAGAGTGCATTGCTAGACAAACAAAGACTGTGTGATGAGCAACAAGGATTCTTTTCAAAACTCAAAACTGCAAACCACAGCTCCTCTGTGGGACAGAGGCCAAATCTGCAATGTTTCTTTAATGATAAAATATTAGGGCTTGCCAGACTGCAGGCAGGAGTGGAGGTCATGATTGTCGTAGAATCACAGAACAGTTTGGGTGGGAAGGGACCTCTAACGGCCATCTCATGCAACCCCCTGCCATGGGCAGGGACATCTTCAACCAGAGCAGGTTGCTCAGAGCCCCGTCCAACCTGACCTGGGATGTTCCCAGGGATGGGGCATCTCCCACCTCTCTGAGCAACCTGGGCCAGGGGTTCACCATGCTCATGGTAATTAATTTCTTCCTTATATCCAGTCTAAATCTCCCCTCGTTTAATTTAAAACCATCACCCCTTGTCCTGTTGCTACAGGCCCTGCTACAAAGTCCGTCCCCATCTTTCTCCTCAGCCCCCCTCAGCCCCGGCAGCTGCAGGAAGGTCTCCCCGGAGCCTTCTCTGCTCCAGGCTGAGCCCCCCCAGCTCTCCCAGCCTGTCCTCCCAGCAGAGCTGTTCCAGCCCTCGGAGCGGTGCTGGGGCCTCCTCTGGCCCCGCTCCAGCAGGTCCGTGTCTCTCCTGTGCCGAGGGCTCCAGAGCTGGACGCAGCCCTGGAGCCTCCAGAGCAGGGCAGAGGGGCGGAATCCCCTCCCTCGCCCCGCTGGCCACGCGGCTTTGGGGGCAGCCCAGGACACGGGTGGCTTCTGGGCTGCGAGCGCACATTGCTGGCTCATGTCCGGCTTTTCACCCACCAGGACCCCCAAGTCCTTCTCCATGGGGCTGCTCTCCATCCCTTCACCCCCAGCCTGTGCTGATACTGGGGGTTGCCCCAACCCAGGGTCAGGACCCTGCACGTGGCCTTGTTGAACCTCATGAGGTTCACATGGGCCCATTCCTCGAGCGTGTCCAGGTCCCTCTGGATGGCATCCCATCATTGTGATATACTATAAATCCTGCAAAGAGAGCAATTCATACAGCATTTGTGGCAGGAATAGTATGTGGGAGTGATCGATGGGGTGCAATGTACTGGCCTCTAATTGATAACATGAGAATTATTATTATTATCTCTTTCTTGCCCCTACCCCATTGCAAACACTTAAAGCATCTGAGCATTGCCAACCTCTTTGCTAATGAAGGTTAGTGTTTGTACGTCATATAGATACTGGCCCTCTCTGTTTCAGTTTTGGGGGGAAAAAAACCAAGCACTGAAGATAAAGCACTAATACATTTTTTAATTAACATAATCCACCTTCTGCAAGTCCCAGGAAACCTATCTCTATACGTGCTCTGCAGATTGCTGACCAGGAAATGGCTCTGCATATCTGGTCTCCAGGAATTTCAAGACCCATCACACAGTAGATGTCAGCATCCCAACCTGTTCTTCCTAAGAATGGACAGCAATGAATGCAGTGAATTTCTTTTTACAATTGCCACGTGTTGTGCCAATTTCAGATGTGTAAGTGGCTACATAGCTATTACAGAAGATAAAATAAAAAACAGGAAAATACTTACTGAGGAAAGGACTAAAACATTTACCAGCCCCAAAACACTGTCCCTCAAAACACAGCTAATTCCCTTGTCACCTATGTATACACTGTTTGTCAAAGTAAATTACATGCATTTCCTGGTGCTTTGTCTTCTGACCTGATAATGCCATCTCCAGTGCGTTTCCCAGAGAGAAACCTATGTTTAAAAAAAGCAGGGAGTGCATCACAGCTGAAACGCAACCAGCACGCTCTCCAGGTGCCGCAGTGCGTTCTGCCGGGAAACGAGAGCAAGGCTCACAGCATCAGGGCAAGTGACTGGCAGCGGCAGTAGCTCTGTTCACGAAGAGCAGTCTCCCGAGAGAAGCAGGACTTTCTGTTCCACCAGAGTGTGCTCCAGCATTGCTCCATGGGCGAGAGACTCATACTCCCATAAGCGTCGGAGAAGACTGGGCTGAGGCATGGTAGCAGTATTAAGATACGTTTTTAAGAGCTGCCACAAAACTAAGGGAATAATCAGTTTGCTATACAGACTTGGGAAGAACTAAAAAAAAGGAATGACATGTCCTTGTGCCAAGGACAGTCGGACTCAGACATGAAGAAGGAAGGGCTTTCCGTAGCAAGGACAGTGTGAAGGACCTCCGTCATAAGCAGGAGTTGATTCTGCTTTGCTGCAGAGGCACAGCCTACACGATCTCAGTGCCTTCCTCAAAGCTAGAAGGTGGAGACACTTAGAAAGTACGTCCTGCTGTGATGGCCATACTACAAAAAGTGTGTTTGCAAGTTGCAGACCATTTGAAGAACTACAGTTGTTATATTAGCCCTGGATTATTTGCCATGTAGAGGGAGATTAATGAATTTCTCTTTTTTTCTTTTTAATGTAGGAGCAGATGCATCGTGTCATTTTTGTAAACTATAAATACTAATGCATAAAGAAAAGATTTCTCATTGCAGATGTTGTAGCACTGTATTTTAGTCCTCAGCTGACCTGGTAAACACCTTGGGGAAAAAAAAGGCTATTTCTGCTAGGTATTCATCTCCTCAGAATACCTGTTTCACATCCTGGCTGTATAGTGACCTATTAATGCTACCGAGCTGTCTGTTCCTCCTGTGTTATCAAATGGGTATATTACATGTCTTAGGCATTTTGCAAATTGTTCATAAATTTTTTTTTTTCACTTTTACCTGTTTTATTTTTTGTTTTATTTATTTAATCTGATAGAGTTTATGCTAGCTTCTCATTTGGATGCACCTTTATCATTTGGGGTGTTTTGGGTGTTTGGGATTTTTTTGCAAGGATTTAATCTTGTTTATGACCTCCCTAACTCTGCTGTCCAGCCTACATTTCTCCATTCCTAAATGCTACTCGATCATATACATTTGCTCTGCACCTCCAACATGGTAGCTTAAATACTTACTATGTCCTTGCAAATGTTTTTACTTTCTCCTTTTAATTTCTTTTTAACAAGTCTCTAAATTTTATGCATTTTACTTGTTTGAAATGAAATGTAATGGTGGTGGATAGTTTTCACTGTTGTTGTATCTGCAAGGATGTTCTACTGTGGGATTGCTGCGTTACCAAGCAGCGCTTCAACAGTAACGTGTTGAAACATGTCCTGTGTGTTGGTCAGGTCCAGGTCAATCTTTGCTTCAGTTCTGCTCAGGTCTGGTTTGTGCTCCTTTAAACACACATTGAGGATGTTTAGCAATTTAGTCATGGGGCCATGTTGCAAAGTAACATTTATCTTCTGTATGAGGAGTAGTACTTTTCCATCAGTACTACAAAGTTCACTATTAGTATGGCATTTCAGTTTTGCAGTCGCTCTGATTTCTCATAGCATCATGTATCCAGTGTCCCTTGCTTAGGGAAAAGGAGGAAATGGTTTAAAATTGTGAGACGAGTCTCTGAGACCAGTGGTAAGATGACCACAGCAGAGGATGGTTTGCATCAGTCACAACTAGTCCTCTGAAGACGGTAATAGCCAGTGCACCCACCCCATTGATGAGAAGGGTGTTGGTGTGGCCCGTGGAGCAGCTCACCTTCTAGCAATGTCCTTTTAAGAGGGCTGGCATCACAGTGCTGTGCTGTGATTTGCAAGGTAATGTCTTCTGAAGCACTTCTTATGTGAAAGCACTTGAGGCACTAGGAAGGTATAGTGTAAAGGAAAATGCAAAAGAATGTTCTTTTCTATGGCTGAAAATATTTGTGCTTTTTCACCTTTTTTTCCTGCAGACATCACAATCCTGGGAATGGACATTGATGTGCAAACCATAGAGGACAATGTCATCAGCTTGGAGATGCTGTTTAAGACATGGCTACATGACTATGGCACAGAGAGAGAACACCTCCACCTCCTCCTTCCATCAGGAGGCTTCATCCATGCCACTGGACCCAAGACCACTCTAAGTATTTAATTTTCTCCCCGCATTGTAGGGAGCTCCTTAAATCCCACAGCCTTAAAGATTACCCAGGCCTGTCCTGTAGGCATGCGCCCTCACACTGAGAGACCCAAGTAAGGTCTCTGGGTGACTTTGAAAGCTGTCTGGAGTTTCTGTTGTCTCGGGCTGAGAGGGGACATTCGCTTAGAATACTTCTAGGTTGCTGCCATGTCCTGTGGCTGCTGATGCTATAGTTCGTTTCCATTCTGCAGCAAAAATGTGCCTTGAAGAGTACGTGAATTGGTAGCCACTTGGTCAAGGTAAAAGGGCTCTTACATACCAAGAGCCAAGGACCTTCTGACTCAGTTGTATAGCCCTAAAAATTGTGTCCTTTGTGTTTGATACTAAAATTCTGTGCCAGAGCTGCACTTACAAAGGGACGTGGCTTGTATTTGCTGGTTGCTCTTGCAGATATGCTCCACAGCAAGCAGATCAGAAAGCCTGGTGTGACTTTTATTTATGTAGTAGCTACCGTAACAGCCTCCAGACCAGCACAGGCAATTACAATATTTTGGTAAAGGTGGATTTTCCTTCATCATCACACTGAATTTCATACTTGATGCATAGTCTTATTATAGCTAGCAAGACAAACCAAGTTACACTGCAGTCAGGTTTTTTCACCTTCCCACACTCAAGAAATCTGTAGAAGGCCGGAGAAATTGTATGCAGGTGTATATATATATATGTATATCATATTATACCAGAGTTAGTGTCATCAGTGTGCTGGGTTTCTCCATGAACACAGCTAAAAAAGCTGGCAGGAAATGTGTGGCCCTGAACCCAGCGTGGCGTTGGGAAACAAGCTTCTGCTCCCTCTACAGCTGGCGACTCATCGCCAAAACTGGAACTTCCTCCCCAGCTACCAGCCCATCATTGTTTCATTAACAGGCCAAGTATGTGGTATTTCCCCTTGTGTGTAAAATGGGGGTAGACTGTTGCCTTGTGTCACAGGCTTTAGCCTTGTTCTTCCCTTAATACTTGCTGCTGCTAGAAAACAGTAACTTAGTGTTTGTAAGTGCTTTGAGCGTGCCATGCGCTAAACATCGCCATTTCCAGCGATCTAAACTAATCTCCTTCTCCTAGTGTGCCTGAAGTGCGATTTGCAGGAGAGAATGCTCGACCCAGCTCTACTTTCTGGGACAGCTGACGGCCCTGCGAAAGCAGCAGATTTGAACTCACCCTGCCAGATGGCAGCCTGGCCAGCCGCAGTGCTGCATAAACTCCAGGTTGTAAAGTAAGTGTTGCTATGTGCTTTGTGCTTGGTAACTGGACGGCTGGTATAATAGCAGCCTTCCCTTTTTCTGTGCAGTTTCAACTAGGACCTAGTAACATTGCCATAAAGCGCTGGGAGACTCAAAGTGCTCGTGAGCAAAATTCTCATGTAAGATACCCTCAACCCCCGTAACGCTCCGTGTTATGGAACGGCACATCCCACACACGCAGACAGGAGCGCAGAGTCAACAATAACGTTACCATGACACTAGCACTTTAGGAGCGCAACACTATAGATGTTGTTCATGCAACAGTTGTTTCCCGCCAGTGTGAAGTTCTGTAGGTTGCAGTTCTCTCACTAATGAAGCCACAGCAATTAATTGGGTGTCAGAGCCTGAGCTAACCAGTTGACTAGTAGTAAACAGGGAAGCAAAGCCTCATGCTGCTGTGTGACTTCACGTAAGAATTTCTTTGCTTTCCCGTCAGCAGTTTATGGCTGGTAAGCACACAGCATAACAAGAAGAGCAATGCTCTCTAGTGTCTTTTCTGAGGTTTACTTACAGAAAAAAATTTGTGTAATTTCTGAAGTATACGGTTGTTCTTAAAACAATTCTCATCCTGTCAGTAGCTGAAGAGCACTCAGTAATTGTGCATAAATGGCCCACAGCCAAAGCACTGAAGCTACTTAATAAAGGCCCTGTCATGAAGCAGAAGCGTGCTATGGGCAGGCAATGACAAGCACTGTAAAGTCTGTAGTGGTGTTTGTGGTGGGATGTTGGTGCTGTGCAGGAGCAGAGCATGTGTCAGTTTAAGTGAAGGACAACCACGATCCAGTAAAAATCACTTCGGAAGAGATGTAATTGCCTGGGTGAGTTATTGCCCGAGAGGCCAGATTAACAATCTGTTTTATATACAAAATGCATGAAGATTGGGTTTGCTTCTTGGCATGCTCTTGTCAATGCAGATCCAAGGGAACCTGGAAGTCAGCAAGGAAGCCTCTTTTCACTGCAGCTGGACTTTTCTGCAAGGTTTCATAGTGACAGGCCACAGCAGTACAGACATTAACTGCTTGTAGCAGTATTGCAGCTGGCACTGCCATACCCACTTCAGCTAGTCACCTCCCAGTAGAGTCTTCTTGCTGATTTCACATTGGCTGTGCTTCGCTAACATGATCTGTATATCTACAGGGCTCTGAAGTCTGAAGGGGTCTGTGAGTCTGTACTGTATGGCCTGCCCTTCATCATCAAGCCCACAAGCTGCTGGCAGCTAGACTGGGATGAACTGGAGATAAACCAGCACAGCTTCCATGCTCTATGTCATAGTCTTCTGGTAAGCATGTGAAAATTGCAGTCTCATGGGGAGGGGTTGCCGTAGAAAGGAATAGTTAGTGTACGTCTAGTAAGATCTGTCTAGCCTGCACCAGAAAACAGGTTTCAAAAGCTGCAGCTTCATCTCATGGTCCAGACTTGGGCTTGTGAATCCTTCCAGCCAATGCATCCACTGGAAAGACACTACAGCACATCAAGCCTTAGAGAAGACTCTCAGAAATCCAGTGTTTGCAGGTATGAAGTGCAAAAGTCAGGGCTGGAGTCAGACAGGCATCTTTAACTGTCAAAATAATTAACCAAGGCTTGGGATGTGAAGGACTTTCCATTGCTGATAAGCCATAAAGAAAAATCGGATGGTTTTTTTTTCAGAATTGTCTTGCATTCAATTAAAAAAAACCCCAGCCAACATACTACCCTCAGCCATAATGCAGAATAGTGTTCTTATTCTGATGTGTATGAATGCCTCTGCTCCTGAACCCAGCAGCCCCTACAGTGAAGGTGCTGAAGGAAGTGGCTATTGCCCATTGTTCACATTGGTTTTGGCTTTTGCCGTTCAGAAAAGGAAGTGGATGCTTTTGGCCAAACGTGAGCCACAGAACACTAGTCTAAACTGGAACATCATGGTGCATTCCTACTACATCATTGTCCCTTCCGACTCTGCCACTCTACTTGTCAAAGCAGTCGCCATCAGAGAGCTCTTGCTGCCATCAACCTTCCCAGCCCTCCTTGCTGAACATCCGGAGAGAGTGCAAGGCCCTATAGAGGTAAGTCATTGGCAGCCCTGCACAAATACTTGTGGAAAGGATCCCAGTTGTACAAGCAGGGATCAGAGTAATGATCAGTCTTTACACATAGGACATGCAGCTGCTGCTGAAGAAGTATCTACCGCCCTCATTACTGACGAACATAGATCTCCTCAGATTGCAGAGATGTGCTTTAGGCATAAGATAAATCAATACATAAAGTGTCTCTGTTTCTTCCAATAGATTCAGGCTTCTGCATTTCCTATTGTGCACCCATTTGTTCTTCTCCCAAGTTGTCTGCCTCTGCTTCAGGTGATGCCAGGATGGGCAGAGCCCTCGCTATAGGGGCCTGCCTATATATAGCCCTCGCTATATAGGTCTTAGCAGATGGGTAGAGGAGGAAACAGCTGTGAAAATATCTAGTGACAGCTGGAATATGATGCAGCACTCCAAAACTTCTTCCCAGCAGCCAATAATGTCCTACAGCTTTCTTCACGGACAGCAAATGCCTGTCCGTTGGGGCAATGTTGCATGTCCACTGGGCGTAAGAGGACGAGGCCTTGTGAAGCAGAGAGTTGAGGGTGACAGCGCCCACAAAGAGTGCTCCAGCTTATCGACTGGTTCTGGGCATGGGGAAGATATCCCTGCAAGGGAATGCTTAAATCCATTACGACTTGGTTACAGATGCCTCTTGCTCTATACACAGCTAAGAGTGGTCCTTGCGGGTAGCAACCCAGCCAAAGATCCCTTCTCCCATCACTGCAGGGTGAACATCTGTAACAGTTTCATCCCTGGGAAAAAAAAAAAAGCCCTTGGCCCTCGACACAAATAACAACAAAAAACGCCAAGCAAACCCACAGCCTCTACCTGTCACATCTCATAGCCACTAGGTTCTTTCTTTTGTCTGAGCAGGGTGCCCTGAACAGCTTGGAAGTAGAAGTTGCTTATAACCCCTTGCACCTAAAAAGCAACCTCTACAAATACCTGAAGAGTACGTTGTACAAATCTCTGCACAGACAGCAGGCCCAGCCCAGGGACCAGCGACCAGAGCGGCATCAACCCAAGCAGGTATGTCTCTTGCCTTTGACTAGCCTAGATAGTCTCTGTTCTGGCCTTCTGGTCTGCTTCCCGCAGAAGGGCTGAGGGCAGCTCCCCAATACCCTAGCGATACAGGGAAGGCAGCACATGGCAGGGGCAACATCCACTTGCAGCTGGCAGAGCGGAGGGATGGGCTTAGCATAAGCTCATGAAATGGAGGAGAGGGATGCTGAACAGCTGGCGCACGCAGACACGGTCGGACAGTGCACTGCTGGGCAAGCCGGCACCTCCTTCCGCAAAGCGCATTTGTATTTTGTCTCTGTATTGCAGCATCAGAGCAGAGCCAAAGCCACGGTGGCACCCCTTCTGATGGCTCCTTCTCCTGTCCAAGTGCCCACACCAGCAGCCGTGAGGAGGGATTCCAGTGGGCGCTTGCTGCTCCCCAAAGAGTATGACGAGTTCCTGCAGTGAACCCCAGGGCACTGTTTGAGCCTGCTCACGTGCAGTCACGGCTTGACTTCTTGTTCAGCTGCCAAGCCTCATGCACTGAGCTGGAAGGGCTCAGGCAAGACACTAAGCTTAGCCTCAGTCAGACAGGCAATTCCCATCATTCGTTCCCCCTTGCTGTTTTATGGTTTTGCTAGTCACCAAGTTAGTCTGCAGGAAGCCAGCCACTCCGGGGCCCTCTGTCCAGATATTCAGCTATCCCCCACAACACCCCATATTCCCCATTCCTGTCAGCACGCACCACCAGCAGGCCTCAAATTTTGGTTTCTGAGACTAGGCCAGTACATGCCACGAACCACAGATTGCTGCCAGCAGGTGCAGAAAAGCTGCAAGCAGGGTGGTGAGGAAGTCAGACAGATAAATGAAGCAGGCACTAACATCAAGCTGCCCTCATCCTGCAGGAGCAGATTCAGCAGGTGTTTGAATAGGCATAAAAGACTTTTGAATTTAACCTTAAAACCCAGAATGCTGCCCTCCTGAGAGCAGCGCTACCCATGATGATGCTGATTTGCTTGCTTCCGTAACTGCTCTTGCTGTCCCTCACCCCAGCTCATGCAGGGGTTAGCAGCAAGTGCCAAGCCAGCCCAGCGACAGCTCACCGCAGCTGGAGCTGCGGCACAGCGCCATTCTCCCAGCCAGCTGCTGCTTGGCGCTCTCCTCCCTACAGCCCGTCTGTGCCTGTGGGGATGTTCTGCAAGCCAACACGGCAAGTACTTTTTGGCAGGGTTCAGAAGATGGGGGGAGCTGGCCTGGAGCTTTCCAGAAAGCTTCTGTCCAGCGCTTGCGCAGATGCTAGCCTGCTCTTCAATGCACACATAGGACGGCTGCCCCGGCAGGACCGGAGTGGAGGGCAGCCTGACTGAGCTGAGGTGGGGTGGTCTCCCTGGGCTTCCTGCACGCCGAGCACCAGCAGGGGTTTGCGTTCTACTTCATTCTGACAAGCCGTTTCAAAATAAAGTTATTCACCCAGACGCTGACTTACTGCCTGTAGTTTGCCAGGTGTAGCGTGCGCAGCAATCCCAGCACCGGCCTGCACTTCCCGAGGAACAGCTGCAGCAGACCAAGGGCGCAGCGCAAACACCGTGCTCCCGGGGGACCGCTGCAGCGGGAGAGCGGAGCCGTCAGAGCCATCTCTTTTCCCTGGGATCCCAGCACAGGAGCAGGCCCTGCTCTGCCTGTGCCCTGGCAGCACTCCATGCCTGGGTAAGATGTCAGGGGCAGGTACCTTGAGGACAGGGCAAACAGCCCTGCAGGCACGGGGATGCTGATCTGTTAGGTGTGCCAGCTGGCGGTAACTCCTGCCTCTCCAACAAGCTCACGGCCTGAGGAGCGGGCAAAGGAGCAGCAGCGAAGGGCAGCAGTGCACCTACAGAAGGCGCAGCCTGGGGCACGCAAACAGACAGTAATATGAACTGACAACATCAGGCAGATTCGGGGGGTGGGCAACGGGGGATTAGCTTGACTGAACTGATGATGCAGGTGGAAATTACTTTGGCAACTGTATCGTAAATACCAAACGGGGCTACAAAGTCAACAAAACACCTTGCCACTGAGAAGGGGTAGACAAACAGGGGCTTGTGATTTATTCCCAATAGAAGGAAGCTGCTAAAGGGGAAACTTGTGAAGAGGGAAAAGGGACTATAAGGGGAAGCAAATCACAAAATTGGGGCTGTCTGGGGGTCCCTGTTGAAAAGGCTTCCACTTGATCACCACAGTGTGAAGCAGAGCAGTAACCGTGCTCTTGTTCTGACCAACTCTTGACAGCCAGAGGGAACCTGGGTGCTCTCCCTAATGCCAGTGGGAGAACGCATACCCTGGCAGAACAGTTGTCTCATGCCTGTACCACGCTAGGCCCTAAAGGGGAGGAGGCAGCAGTTGTAAAAGGACTTATCTATAGAACAGGAAACAGAAGAAGGTAGCCCCAAGGGGAAGAGGCTGGGAGCTGCTCAAAGCCCAACCAAGCCATTTTCTCCTGGCAAAACCTGCCACCTGGCCTACAGAGACCAAGACTTCTGCTTCTTTGCATCCCAGCTCTGCCTGCTAGACCAGTGCTCTGACACTTCCCAGCTAACCTGGGGCACAGGCTTTTAGCAGAGAACAGGGAGGCACATGGGCTGTCCTCCCATGAGGAAGTCCAGCGTCCAAAGGGCTTCCCATGCACCACTCAGTCTGGCCCACAGCACCTGGGCTGGGCAGAAGCGAACAAAGCTGCTCATCCAGGACCATTTCTGCACTGTAAGAAAATGGGCAGAGCGAGCAGCCAAGCATAAGCCACGCATCCCCAGGCACTTCAGCAAAGCCTTGCTCAAGACTGGCTGCCAGGATGCCATTTTCCAAGTACACAGACTGAATTCAGCCATGACGCACACGGAAATTAGTTGTAAGGAGACACTGGAAGCAGGGCAAAGGAAAGGGAAAGAAGGAGGGCTACGAAAGATGATCAGGGGGCTGCAGAACTGCCCATATGAGGACAGGCTGAGAGAGTTGGGGTTGTTCGGCCTGGAGCAGAGAAGGCTCCAGGGAGATCTTATTGCAGCCGGCCAGGGCTTAAAGGGGACCTACAGGAAAGATGGGGACACACTTTTTAGCAGGGCCTGTAGTGACAGGACTAAGGGTAACGGTTTTAAACTGAAAGAGGGTGGATTTAGACTGGATATTAGGAAGAAATTAATTACCATGAGCGTGGTGAGACACTGGAACAGGCTGCCAGAGAAGTTGTGGATGCCCCATCCCTGGAAGTGTTCAAGGTCAGGTTAGATGGGGCTTTGAGCAACCTGATCTAGTAGAAGGTATCTCTGCCCATGGACAGCAGTTGAAACTAGATGATTTTTAAGGTCCCTTCCAACCCAAACCATTCTATGATTCTATGAAGGCAGATGGAAGAAATCCTAATCTAGGCAGAATCCAGAAAGATCATCTCCTGGTCCTAAAGTCAGGGTTCATTGCAGGCTTTTGCTTTGGCAATGGGAAGGCTGTGAACAGCCAAAGGCTCACTCTGCAGTTACCTTATTCCTTAGGCTTTCCCAAAGCATCTATTATACCCTGAACTGCTGACAGAAAGGAGATAAGGTGAAGCACAGAGCAGCAGTCTGAGCAGGATGACAGCTCTGGTCCACAACACAGGGCCAGAAAAGAATGAACTGTCTCTCCTGACCAGCAGAGACTAAGAGCCCTCCCCGACGCATGCACGCCGGTCATATGGCAGGGTGCATAAATAAGGCAGACCACACATAGGAGCATTCCTCGTGTCTTGCGCACTTACATCTCAGTCCCGAGTCACGTGTTATAAGAGATGATGTCATTGCTAAAGCAGGAAAAATAAATATCCTTTCCTCCTAGCCAAGAGGAGCTCAGGGACCACTGGTCTGGCACAGATGCTGGAGCATTTTCCTTCCTCACTGTCAACCTCTGTAGTGAAAGCCGGGTCAGCCACTTCGCACAGATGGCACACTCAGCTCCACGGGACAGAGCGGACACAGTGCACTGAGGTACGATGACCACAGTGATGGAGATGCACATACCCATGGCCATACAGAAGGGAGAGCCCTGGGGCTCTGCTCCTGGGAGGCTGCTCTTCATTGTTTAAGTCTTGGAGCCTTACGCTGGAATCACAAGCAAGGATTATGGGCAGGTGGCCTGGGCCTCCTTGCTATGCAGTGCTCTTCTCTGGCGCAGACAGGCAGAATCACTCGTGGGATGCATACGTGGACCCACCATGGACAGGAACACAAGCATGGGACCACCCAGCAGCCAACTATGAGCAGCAGATGCCTGCTGCTTGGACCTCTCGTCCCAGGCGGGAACCACCTCAGCCTCCCTCAGATTCCCAAAGCCCCTTAGGCTTTTTCCCTTCTCCTGCAGCAAAACCCCAGTGGGGAAGAGGACCCAGCACAGGAGAACAGGTACAAACTGGTCCTGGCTATAGCTGTGCTTTATTGTTACAGGACTAAGGTTTCCCCCCTGCAACTTGGGCATCAGGCAAATGCCCAGTCAGAGCTCACTGCCTCGTCACCATCTCACCTGTCTGGGGACATAAACTTGACCCTCCAGACTTCCCCAATGATTGTGGCTCCCTGGGTCTGAGCTGGGGCTGCAGAAGACATGCCTAGTCCTCTGCACAAGTGCATCGCAGTGCTGCTTGTCAGCTGGCTGCTTTGCTGATGTCTACATCAGCAGGCTGGTAAACCTGCAGAAGTCATCAGTAGCCCTGTCCAGATTCAGGCCACTGACGGTGCCTGATCCAGCCCTGCACAGGAGGGACATAAAATCTCTCAAAACCATTACCAGCCCCAAAAGGACAACCTGTTTCTCCCCTATATAGACTTCTGCCCAAGGCTGGCCACACAGCAATCACAGCCAAACCCCTGGCATCAGACCACACAGCAGGGATCACAGTTTTTGCCACGGAAGTTAACAGGATCCAGACTGGGCCACCCCAGGCCTTTCGAGAGCGGCTGGGAGCAGGGGGAAATCAGCAGAGGGATCAGGCCATCACAACATTTTGTGCCCTGATCAGCACATAAAGGTATCTGCAAGCCTGACTCTCGTATCGCTTACTCTCCTGCCTTTAGGGCAGCCCAGCCACAGCCGAACCTGGCACATGCTTTTCTTCGTTGTTTCCTCTTAGCTCAACAGCTCTGGCACAGACACAAATGTGAACGCTGCTCAGCCGGGCCGCCCTGCTCCGCAGCACTGCGCCAGCATCTCCCCATCCGTACGCCTGACAGCCCAGACACGCCACAGGCAAACGTTTCATTCTGAGACATACAGATTTTAATATTAAAATAATTTTGTATAAAAATACTTTTGGAGACTGATGGCAAGCAGTCTTCCATGCACCACAACAGGCATCCCAGCCCTGCAGCCCTGTCAGGGAGGGAGCCAGAGCAGAGCCAGAGCAGGAGGCACAGGGCAATGCAGCCAGCCCTCTGCAGATCAGGAGGCGGCAGCGGAGCCAGCTCCGGAGCCGGAGCAGCATGCTGGCACCTGCACCAGCCACAGCTCTCTTGCTGTGGAAAGGGCCTCCAGCGAAACGCAGCCCCTCAGCATCGGTGAGCAAGAGGGGCTCTACCTGAACCAGAACGGTCCCCAGCCCCAAGCCACCCCTGGGACCTGTGGAGGACAGGAGCTGGCACTGCTCATGAACGGGCCTGGGCCCCCAGTCCCTCCTGGGCAGGTACAGAGCGGCAGCACGCTATATCTCTCCTAAGTCCTCGTAGACAGGCGACAAGCTGCACTCGTCCACAGACTGCTCCTTCTTCTGCACGTGCTGGGGCCTCACCACCTGGCTGGCTGCTGTTGAAGCTGGGTTTGATGACCGCCTTCTCAGGAGCAGTGTTGCCCCACCGCCTGCCAGGGTCTCCGCTCCTCTCGGCACCTTTAGGGATAAAAGCTGCCTGAGGCTTGGGGGCGGGCACTGGCTTGGGGCCCCTGGCCTTGGCCTGGAAGGTGGGTACCGAGTAGTCGTCAGTACTAGGGTTGTAGGGATACTCGTAGCCGCCCCTGCCATCGTGGCCCTGGGTGCGCGCCTCGCCGGGGGGCCGCGCTTCGTCGTAGATGCAGGTGGGCGGGGGCAGGGAGCGGGGAGCGCGACCCTCCGGCTCATCGTAGATGTGCTCCCTCCGCCCAGGCACCGCGGGGGCCTGGCCGCATCCCTCGGCCCGGACCTGCTTGTACGTGCCCGAGTACAGCGGCCCCCGCAGCTGCAC